ATCGATTGTATATATTTAAAGGTTGTAATTAGTCATAATATTAAATTCAAGAAACATCAACGTTTTACCGTTCGGTTATGCGACTTATTAAGCCTTGACGTCTCATTAACGATGTTGCCAGTGTCCCAGTTTATTAATTACGCAATGTAAAAAGCACGCTAGAGACAACCTGATTATATTTCTTTCACGTTGTTACTTGTTTTACATTTCGGAATGGTATATGATAGTAGTCGACTACATCGTCAAAACGACCGTATGAAACGTAACGATCGGTGCGTTTGAAACTCAAAACGGAATACGCGAAAATGCAAACGAACCATCACTGGCAATCGGCCGTTTCAAAAGTGGTTGATACCAAATTTCCTATCTTCACGTTTCTCGTTCTGACGCGTATTTGATTTGACTGGATATTTGAATGTTACAAAAAAAAAAAAAAAAAGAAGAAGTTTAAAGGAAAGAAAAAAATGTAAAAAAAAAGGAATGAGATGATACACGTTTCTAAACTAAAGAGCATTTTAACAAATTATATTGATACTTTGTTCAATCTTTAATTTACTGTGTTTTTTCCCAAATTTTTCCAAATTTCAATATAAATTAATTTTAAAATAAGATTAAATATTTGAAATCAAATTAATTATGTTGGTATTAGTATGGTCAATATATTTCTGCAATTGTGAGGTTTATTTAAGTTTAGTTTGTACACGTTTCTAAATTAAAAGAACATTTAACAAATTATATTGATACTTTGTTCAATCTTTATTTTACTGCTTTTTTTCCGAATTTCAACACAAATTAATTTTAAAATACGATTATATATTTGAAATCAGATTAATTATGTTGGTATTAGTATGATCAATATATTTCTGTAATTGTTAGGTTTATACGAAATTCCGTTTATGGATTAGCTTATTTTGTAGTATAATAACATTAAGAGTTTCTCTCACGAGAATGATATCAGTCAGGATCAAATTATCGGACTTTGGTCTTCTCTACTTTCAAATGGCATGAGGTATATATTTACATGGATAAGTTTTAACGAGCATGCAAGTTCAATGTCGATAAGTTAACGCCACCTTGTCACGATCTAACTATCATCTTTAGTACTTGCGATCGTAGATCGTAAATCGTTACCTATCATTCTCTATATTTCTAAGTTCATGAAAACTGTGTAAACAAATGATTAAATAAGTTAGTTATCAAGAAAGAAAAATAGTAAAAATTGAGAGAGATAGAAATAGAGAGAGAGAGAGAGAGAGAGAGAGAGAGAAAATGTCATGGTTAATGGAGATTGCTAGGCTTTGATTGCATTTGAATTCTTCGAGTCTTACGGCCTACGAGATTCTCGTATCTAATAAATGGAATTTGCAGCGTATATGTCCACGTTCGTTAACGAGTTTTTTTTCCAGGTTACGTCAGACACTTATTTAAAATCTCATTCAAGGTGATTTTATTTATATATGTAAAAAATATTCACATTTATTCTCCTTCCTTCTTAAAAAATGATTAATACGAACGTTATGTAATTGTAGATATATTGTAATGAAATTATTGTAAAATATTTTGAAAAAATGATTTATTTCAATATTTATTTTTAAAAAGGAAATAAATGAGATAAAATCATTTTTAAATAGATTATATTATTTTTTGAAAATAATTTTTATATATATATATAT